CACCTGCTGTGCACTGCAGAGGTGCCCTTGAGCAAGGCAACCTAACCCTAAAACCTGCTCATGGGGTGCTGGTAACATCACTCCACCATCTCTCTCCTCTTTGCATGTCCACATGTGCATGAAGTGTGCATTTCAGCCTGTGTGTATATACAAAAAAAAAGAGTGAAAAGAACAATTTCCCATCCCATCAATAAAGTATATCTTCTTCTGTCTTCTTCTTCATTTAGAAAGAGAAAGATTCCACATTACACTTGTGTAAGTTGTCTACAGCTGTATTATGATTGTAGGGTGGTCCTGAGAGCTCAACACACTGTAAATTAAAGGTCAAGTGTGTCACCTTTAGGAGGATCTATTAGCAGAAATGTAATATAATATGCATAACTATGTTTTCATTAATGTCATTTTTTTAGTTACCTTAGAATGAGCCTACAGATGCAGCGGGTTACCCTCCATGGAGTCAGCCATGTTGAACCGCCATGTTCCTACAGTAGCCCAGAACGGACACACCAAACATTGGCTCTAGATGGGGACATTTTTTGCAGAGAATTGACAATTAAGTATGTTAAAGGCCCTCATTGTTCCTACACTTACTGCAACCAAGCTGCATCCTTTCTTCTCTGCAGTGAGAGATCAATCCCACCTACTGTTTGAGGTTAACACAGTGACAAATGATCGAGGCTGGTTCAAATAATTTTTAAACCTATGCTTCAGTTGTAACATTAATTCTTTCCTGCATTTTATGTTGCTTTTCAGGTTGAAAACATATATCACTTTAGAAAATCTTTAACTATTTGCACATAAAGAAGGCTTAAAAAATGAGCCACAATCATAAACATTTTTACAGCTGACCATGAGCTTCCATGTTGTAACAAGGACTGACAGAGGCTGTGAGTTTGCACTTACACTTATCTCTCTTCATTCTTTAACAGGACAGCATCTTTCACTGGCCTATGTATATTATTCACATATGAGCTTGTTTTTTATCTGTTAAATATTACTAGAACAAAATATTTAAGTGTTAGGGGATAGACACTATATCATGCACAGACCTATAATATTTTGATATCATTATTATGTGTTTCAATGCATTATTCTAATATTTTATTATTATTATTGTGTAATGTAGGCTTCTATACTAAGATCCTTTAAAAAAGTCTAAGATGGTAGATCTGTTGTACTAAATTAGGTTTATTGTTTATGTTCTGCATATTAATGTACTGTGCCACAGTAATATTACCATAATCTCCATACTTTATTATATAAGTGCTGATTACTATATATTTTTGCTGGTGTAAGGTATTTCTGGTAGCCTCTATTTCCCTTTAAACAGCCTGTTCTCCGTGGTTTCTGTTGCCCTCTTGTGGTTGATAATTGTCATCACAACAAGATTAGTCTCACAAATTGCTGCCGTGGAGGAGACAAACAACATTTTTGTGTATTTATTATAATACAAAACGGTTATTATTTATTATTTACTCACACTATTACTATTATTAGTAATATTACAATATTCTTCCCTACTCTGTATACCGACTACGAACGAAAGCGGAACCATTGTCGTCGCTTCATGATTTGAACGGAGTCCTTACAGTGGAACACGCTGTCAAAACGTAAAGCAACAGCAGATAAGTGAACATTTTTCTTGGTGAAAACTTTCAATATCTATATCCACGATAGGAACAATCAGGTACTCGGTTATAGTCCTTGTAAATGAAAGAAAGTCGGTTTGTTTTGGTGTCGTGGCGCGTTGTGCAGGTATAAAGGAGGAGATAAAGGCTAAACATGCTAAATGTTGGCTCATTCAGTAAATGCACACTTTCTCTAGTTAGTAGCTGATGCTATGCGGAGCTAGTTGATGGTATTCCGTTAAGTTTTCTGTGTTGTTTAGACTTGTACGGAAAAATCCAGTTCATCAGCCGCCTCTGCTAAATATTTACGGACATCTTTATGACTGACAAATCATTTATAAATGATCTTATAATGAGCTATTTGACATGTGTGGTGCATTTGAAACAAATACGACTGGTACATGTTTTCGTTCATGGTTGTTTTCTTCAGAAGTGTCGTCAACTCGAGCTTATTCTTCTACTTTTTGTTTATTAACTGTGTTTCTGTACTGATTCAACAGATCAGATCCATCTCGTGTCCCTGTTGACAAACATTATCACTGGTATGGATGGTTTGGTGATGGAGGAGGAGGATGATTGCCCAGAGTTGGTGCCCATTGACACCCCACCTGGTCCTCCTGCAGAGCAGATACCTGTCACCATCATAACAGGCTACCTCGGTGAGAGACCTTCTGTTTTACACACAGCTTTAAGGAGCTTATAAGAGAGATTATAGTCTTAGACATTTGTCAGTCCATCACTACAACTAAATCCTGTTCTGGTCCTGGATCAGCGACCGGGGTTTACGTCATGAGTGTCAGACAAATGGCAGCTATTGATGCTGTACCTAATTTACCTAATGATCAATTTGCTTTTATGCGTGTTTGTTTCTGTATAGGTGCTGGAAAGACTACACTCCTGAACTATATCTTAACAGAACAGCACAACAAGCGGATTGCTGTCATACTTAATGAATTTGGAGAAGGTAAACTAACAAATGTAACACAAAAAAAAAGGTTGTAGTTTCAACTGATTTTGTTCTGGCCAAACAAAAATGCTCTAAAAACTGTTATGTACTATAAACTTGAGGGCAGGCTGATGGTGCTCGTGTCTCCCTGTTCATTTCCTCAGCTTTCCACAAGAGAGCAGCAGAGTAACAACTTTGCTGAGAACTGAAAGAAGCTCATAAATTTGTTTCTTTACTGTGTCCAGAGTTTTTAAGGCTACACACTCTGGTACAGCAACATGTGTCATATTTGTATTTTCTCTAATCTTTTATTACAGTATCATTACTTTATATTCATATTGAACTAGGCTGGTTAGGTGTGTTTTCTTCTTTGTTTGAATGAGTTAAGGGGTCTAAAAATCTCTTATATTTGGCTTTTTGAAATCTGTATTTATCTTTAAAATGACATAGCAAAAGGGCATCTTTGATAAAAAATTGCTCAGTCTTTATCAGTTAATCTTATCCTTCCTCATCCTCTTCATGCAGGCAGCGCCCTTGAGAAGTCCCTCGCAGTGAGCCATGCAGGAGAGCTGTATGAGGAGTGGCTGGAATTGAGAAACGGTTGCCTCTGCTGCTCTGTCAAGTACGTACGTGACTGCAGCACATTTGGTGTTACAGTGTTAATTAAAAGAGAAATGAAAGGTTTTAACTTGTTGCTTTAAGTCCTACAGTTTAAATTCCCCTTTTACATACATTTATGAACTACTGTGGTAATGACGGTACAAGTACAGTTTATTTTACTGATTTATAAGCATGTCTGGAGTTCACTGGGCTGACAAGACACCACATTCCTGCTTTATATTACACATTTTATTTTACCGTAGACAATGTTCTGCATTTTTTATAGTGGCTGTTCCTTCATTTTTCAGGGACAATGGTCTTAAAGCCATCGAGAACCTGATGGAGAAGAAAGGAAAGTTTGACTACATCCTGTTAGAAACCACAGGACTCGCTGATCCAGGTACCACACATTTTTTTAAAGTTGAAATAAGATCAGCTATAATATAAATCTGTATTTAAATAGACCAATGTTTTTTCAAGCTCTGGTATGAGGAGCACATGGACAGTTATTTGCTGGCAAACAGCAGCATCAATTTTATACAGGAAATAACCAAATTGATATCGTCGTTTGGTTAGTTATCTTATTGTTTTAATCATTCAACCGTATAAAATAAATACTAAGTGGCTCAAAGTAGTATAATATTGCAATGATTATGTAACTTTTATAAGGTACCAACACCACTGCAGAGTAATAAAATACCATGTAAAGATTAAGCAATGTCTCGCTGCATAGTACAGCATAGCAGACAGAACTAAAGTTAAAGTTAACTACTAGCAGCGGTCTTCAAATCCTTCACATCACATTGCCAACCCGTCCCAAACAGACTGTTTTGAATGGGCTTCATAGATGTCTATAAACAATCAGCAGCTGTGAGCCATGTTAGAGTTTACTTGTCGAATGTCCACACTTAATATTACCGCTGTCTCTACTTATTTATCTTTTTATGTTCCTTAGAACGGTTAAAATAAGATGAGACAAGATGTACCTTTATTGATCCCACGGAGGAAAAATTCAAATTACACACAGCAGCACAGGGGAATGTAGTGCAAAGAGTACAGAAGTGCACTAAGAAAATAAGATTATTACAAAATCTAATAGAAAATATAGATTAAATGAAAAATATGTGCAATTTGCAAGTAAACAGTCTGCAAAATATTTTGAGCAACTTTGACTAAAAAATAAAAAAACTTTTGGCATTCCTGGCACAGTATTCAGGGATCAATCATTCAATGCCATGAAGCCCCTCTTCTCTTAATGTGTGTAAATAATGTTTAAAGATGATCAGAAGTTAAACATTTTGTAACTCTGAGCACCAGACTTATGTTTCTGTGACAGAAGCACCCATGGAGCCTTTTTCCATCAGTGGCAGCTAAAAAAAAATAAAAAAAACTAGCCGTCCGTTCATCTCTCAGCTTTGAATCAGGAAATCAATATTAGGCCATTACAGGGCGAGCACTGTGACAACTGGGGTGTGTCGCTAAGTGACAGGTGTCAGGAGGTAGCGGCATGGGCAGACACACACCACTTGGCCTCACAGACAGAACCAGCAGAGCACGCTCAGGCTGGGGCTGTCCTCACTCCTCTGCCATGTTATTGGCTGAGACAGGCTTTTTATCGACTAGGACAGGTCTGTCATTGGCCCTGGCAGTGCTGTCAATCATAAAGGCTCCTGGGGGGATTCTCCTCTTCCGTTCAGAGAAGAGGTTGGATGAGTTATGTGAAACATGCCAATCAAAAGCAGTGTTTTCATTATGCATCCATCAAATATTTACAATGCTTTCTTATTCTCGCTTGGCAGTTTGACAAAAGTGCATTATGTGAACAAGCTGTGGCTGGCATGGTAACATAGGGTCTTGTAATAACCGCATCCACAGGAAAATAGAAACAAACCAAATGTACCAGCAGGTAATAAACAATTGAAAGCTTCTGATATTGGTTTCATCTGCTCCACAGAGCTCAGCCCAAAAACATGCACCATTTCTGAAAATAGTGCAACTTTAAACACCACACTTAAGATGCGGATATTATTGAATAAAGTTAATGAATTTAATGCTGAAACTATTAATTTTAGCTACAGAAAATAAATCTACAACAATTTTAATAATTCATTATATTATCTTAGGTCACTTAAAACTCAAATGTGATGATTTGCTGCTTTTCTCTGTTTTATATTATTGTAAATTACCCATGGGTTTAGTATTGATGGTCCTGAAGTCATTTTAAGGTATTACCTTGCACTTGGGACATTGTTATGGCCATATTTTCTAGCATCTTAAAAACATTAGTTACATCCCTACGTTTTTAACGTGTTAGTTATTTGATATACTGTAGTTAGGTATTGCTCTTAAATTTCCAACACAAAACAAAAACATTGTGTAAATTGTAGATGGGCTTGACATATTTCCAGTAGCTGAAATACATTTAGCATAATCACAATAATCCCTGTGTAACATGCCAAAGGACTCCATTTTGATATTTGGCTTTTTTCTATTATTTTGAAGGATTTATGTAAAGAAATCTGAAGTTTATTGAGTAATTTAATAAAAAATAAAAGACAAAAAGGGAAGATATGGCCTCTATTTACTTGTGGGAAGAACTTTCCCTGCCTGAAATTTTGAAAACATTTGGATTTGCATGTATGTGGTTATTTACAATCCTCTACAATCCTATCCTCTGGCAGGAGCTGTGGCCTCCATGTTCTGGGTCGATGCGGAGCTAGGCAGTGACATCTATTTGGATGGTAAGATATTTGTGTGTATGTGTGTGTTTACATGAATGGCGTCTCGCTCCTCTCTAAATACTCAGCTGTCTGCTCTTTTGTGACAGGCTAGCAGACCAAAAGTGTACTTCAGATAACTCAGAGAAAGTGGTTTAGACAAACAGACAAAAATAAACACCAAAAGGCAACCGCAATTCACAAAAGAATGTGCAAGTTGTGGCACTACATCCGGTTCACTGATCACTGTTCCTTTGTTCTTTCTGTAGGCATCGTCACTGTCATCGACGCCAAGTATGGACTGCAGGTATGTGCGAAGAAGATTTTGATGAAGCTTCTTATTTTTAGAATATTTTGTGTTTATTGCTCAAATGAATCAACAGGAAAAAAAAAAAAAAAGTTGATTAATTATTGAAGACATTTATTTAAATTATTTTAACAATTAAAAGAAAAAGGAACAAATGTTCACATTTGTGAATCTGGAACCATGAAATGTTTTTACATGAAAAATGACTCAAACAATTATACGAATAGTTGCCAGTTAATTTTCTGTCAATCGAATAATTGATTAATCAACTAATCATTTCAGCTGTACTGTATAAACTGTTGGGTAGTTTAATTTAGATAGATAGATAGACAGACAGACAGACAGACTTTATTAATCCCCGAA